TCACATCTCTAGGGTGTATCATCTCTGTCTTCTTTTAATGCCTTTGTAGTAATTTTCATGACTTCTACTTTTTATACGTTTTTGTTATTGGTATTTATGAAGGCTTAGAACTGGGCTTGCTATCGTAGACTTCTGTGTATCATTCTCTTCACTTTTAAATTTAGTCGGGTCTTACGTTTCTGTCTATATGCAGAGATTTTTTTGCAGGGGTTTATTTGCAGGGAGTATTGCCTATTACAGACGCGCATATGATATTAAAGACTGCATATGAATATTGTTCTACTATATATTTATATATTTATTTATATATGCATTGCGTTTTATCTATATTTTTAATTTTCTGACTGCCGGAGGTCTTCCACAGAAGCTACTCTCAACCTGGCGTTGGGGGCAGCCTACTATCCTACCTCCCCCTTACCCCATTGCATATGGAAATTGGGTTTTGTTGTTGTTGTTGTTGTATTATTCCCTAATCAGATAAAGAAATGTATCAAACTAATTATATGCTATAGTTTAAGTTATGCATTTATATTATTCAAATTAAATGTGTATTTAAATAATAAATTATTATTATTCTTAATTTAAAATAATCTTATTATTTTAAATTATTAGAGAGAGTGATAAATCATAATTTTTCTTATTCGTTCTTGATGTATGACCCTGTATGTTTATTTAGCGTTTGTATTAGACCAAATCATTTTCGGTCCTTCAAGACATAAGTGCTCTCTCGTAAGATATTGTGACTATCCTAGTTAAACAAAAATCTCATGATTTGTAACAAACCTTAATATTGTTCGTGATAAAAAAATTTTGTCTCTTGATATTTTGATAGAATATAACAATGAAAGAAGTCAACCTTATATCGTTTTATCTTTAATTTCTTAACATCCAATTAAATTAACTAAACAAATTAAATTTATATCTATTAATTCATTTGAGCACAACTATGTATTTCTCCGTCTCAATTGTAATAAGAGGGAAAATTTCATATTGATCACTCATATCTCACTATATAATTATTATTATTGTAATCACTATTTTTCATCCATATTAATATTATTGTTCTTATATATTATTATTACAAACCCAATCCAAATACAACCCAATTACAAGCCCATTGCCAAACCCTAAATTATCTGACCGAGGCCCAACCAACCCGACTCACCTTGCCTTGGATGCTACCAACGCCCATGAAGACCGTTCGATCTGGACTCATCCAACGATCCAGAACGAACCTGCCCCTCTCTGCGACTATCACTGATTTCTCCACTAATAGAAAGCTGGATCCACAATGCCAAACACAATAATTTTTACTTTAATCATTTTTAAGAAAAAATAAGGAAAAAGTAAGGAAAATGTAAAAGAATCGGGCCTATAAAGACATGAATGAAAATGTAATTGAAGAGATTATTTTTCAAATCTACAAAGAAGCAATAAAAAGGAGATTCGAACGTTTTTGTTGGAGGTATATTTTTTTCTAGTTCCAAAAAAAAAGCCTTGCATGTAAAAAAAAACAATAAAAAACTTTCTTTTTTTAGTTTAAAAAACTGAAAAAAAAAGAGAGAAAAAGTTAGGTTCTAGAAAATAAAAAAAATAGACCTTCCTCGGTTTTAAGACTTCTCACCGGCGACGAGGGGAGGTAGATCTAACATTTAAGGTATTTTTCGTTTATTTTTGAGGGTTTAAAAGTTTAAAAAAATGAAATGAAAATTGAGAGAAAAACAAAGGGGAAGGTCGGCCACTGGAAAGAAAATGGGGTATAAGTTTAGCCAAAATCTCTATAATAGCATATATATATATATATATTAGAACCAAAACTACGTAGTTTTGGAGGTTAGGGTTCCTTCCTAATATTCCATGGGTAAATCACGTCTAGGCCCCCTCTTTTTAATACTTTTTTGTGTTTTGGTCAATAAATTTGGTTTAACCGCCACTTAGGTCTCCGTACTTTTGCCATGAATTTTTATTAGTTCTCCCATTTTTATTATTTCGAGTTTGGCATATTAATTTCATTTCGTTTATATTTTGGTCACTCTTGCACATTATTTTATTTTTATTTTGGATATGTTTGTTTGTTTACATTTTAGTCTTTTTATTTATGTTATCTTTACTTATATAGGTAATCTACGGATATATATATTTTTTGAAATATTATGTGTTTATTGTATATGTGGGTAATTTATATATATACTCATATGTTCATGTTTATATATGTGATTTGCTTTCATATGGCTTTATATTATTTACCTATATAGGTAATTTATACGAATACATATATTCTGTTGTTATGTTTTATATTATATTATATTTACCTAGTAAGGTAATTTATACATATTTTTATTTTGCCGTTACCGTGATTACCAATATAGGTAATGTATATAATTATATATATTTTGTTGTTACAGGTTTTGTTATATTATATTTATCTTCATAGGTAATTTACATGTTATTACATTTAAATTATATGTATCTCTGGTATATTTATATAGTCTCTAGGCCATCCTCTAATTACAGTATATAATACCGTCATATGCATAACTCAACTGATTACATAATTATATTAAGTATGATATTTATTTATTTTAAAATATTAAAAAAGATATGTCTTAAAGTAACTAGATGTCATTTTTCGATGTTTTAAAATAAATAAATAACCCATTAGAAAAAATTAAAAAAATATTGCATTTAAAATTAATTAATTTTGAAAGGAAATGGAATTCGCTTATTTAAACTTATCGAGACAATTCGCCTAATTTTATTAGGGATTAAGTCTCGATATTTTTAAATTATTGAATGCCCCTTATCTTTTATAATCATATATAATTTGGATAAATTGGATTAATTTTTTTTTGGTCGAATAAAATTATTTTAATATCAAGTTTTTGGGAGAAATTATTATATTCTTTATATTTCAGTTGAAAAAAGAAATATTCGTCTTAAAGTACTTTATGGATTAGTTTCTCTTCAATTGGAAATATTAGAATATTTTATATTTCTCCTTAAAATTTCCTGTTAAGTAAAAATTGTATTGTTGAATTTTGAATAATAGGATTGTAACTTAAATTTATATTCGAATTTTTAGATTTATACTATTAGAGACAATTTATAATTGATAGGGTATCAATTTTGGGCGTTGTGAGAGTACTTATTTTTCCCCACATATAATCAATCCCGAACTTTTTTTTTATTTATTACAAAAAGAATGAATCTCTAGTTATACGTAGAAAATGATGTTTTTTAAAGACTTTTTTAAAAGAAAATTTTAGGTATTCGACCTACTTAATCCAAAAGGTCGATGACGACTCTAAAATATTTTAAAACCTTTTTAAAGAAAACCCACAAGTCGTACAAAAGTTTTTTTTCCCGACCGGGCAAAAAACTGTGTCGACAATTATATTTATGTATAACTTTTCTAATTATTCGATTAAAAAATAAAATTTAGTTATTTTAAAATATATGGTAAACTACACATGTAGTACCTAAACTATTACTTTTGTTCTATTTTGGTATCTAAACTTTATTTTATTTTAAAATCATACATAATGTTTAGTTTAGGTTTCATTTTGGTACCTTGCACTTAAAAACTTAACGTTGATGTTGACGTGTCACTATAAGGTAATGTCAAGTCATCATTTAAAAATAAAAAAAGACACATCAACAGTTCTGCTAATTTTTTAATGGCATTGTACCAAAATAAAAAATAAACTAAACGTTAGACATGATTTTTAAAAAAATATATAAAGTTTAGGTACGCAAATAGAATATAAGTAATAGTTTATCCTAAAATATAATATTCCTCCTATTAAAATAGCTTAATGAAAAAAATAAGTGTTTAAATTATACTCTGTGTTAATTTTAAATGTCTAAATTATTTTTCGCTCAAAATATGTGCCTAATATTTTTTCCATTATACTATAAAATGTGCATATCGTAAAGAATATAAAAAAAATGTTATCTGAACGCGACACTTTTATATTTTTTGAAATTTCATTTAAAAGAACAAAATCATTATTAAAAAATTCATTTTCTCCTAAGATTATATCAAAACTCTAAAATCCCTAAAAAATGTAATTTCAATCTTTTTACCACCGCTAATCGGCCGCCGCCTTAAAACTATGTGATCAGCCAAACATTCAACTATCAAACCCTCTAACTTTTGCGACCAACGAAGCTGCCTTCACCGTCACTTGCTTCTTTGTTATGTTCGTGTTTTTCATACGATAAATCCCATGCAAATCGATCATGTGATTTTAGGTCTGATGTGAACGTAGCAAACCCCTTGCTTCTAAGATATGATTGATCGGCCGGTGATAGTTATTAACTAGGTTTAGAGATTTGAATATTAAAACTTTTAGGGATTAAAGTCTGCTGACAGTAATGGCGATGGTTGATCAATGAATATACAGTGACTAGTTGGTGGCTATTCAATTACTGAGTCGATGGCTAGAGATAGGCATGGGTTAGATTTTTGGTCCACCGACCCGATCCGAGAATAAGGAATCCTCCACTCAAGATTCGAATCGACCTGATATATAACTTAAAAATCCGACCCGACCCGAAATAATAATAAAATATTATTTTTATTCAATAAAAACAGTGATTTAATTGAACAAAATAATATATATAGAGGTATTATTGTAATTATTCTTAAATATATAAAGTAAAATTATATATTTTTCGAGTTTGGTCGGGTATTTTCACCCTAAAACTAAACTCGACCCAATCCGAACTCAATTTAAAAAAAAACCCCGATCAAATTAAATCAAGTCAGGTTGAAACCCATCGAGTTCAAATCCCATGCCAATCCCTAATTATGACATATGAACTAAAAATATAATGGAAAAAATGCATATTTTGAATTTTTTTATCACATATTATTAATAAAAAAATATAGCTTTTTTATGTATTTTCGAGATTTCATGTTGGACTGCAAGGACGGATAGCGCGGCCCATCGACTGGTCTAATACCAATTAGCAACCAGTACTGATCCGTAAACACAAGGAAGAACAGCAGCACTCAAGTCTCAACCCCCTTTTTCCGATTCTTCTGTATCACCGACATACTGGATTGCTGCTGGGTATCGAATCGAATCCCTTATTTCTAGTGCATTTCAAAAGCTTTGAACCCGTTTGATGAATTGTCTCAAAGAAAGAACCGATTGCTGTGGATATTCATCAGTTTTGGAGAGACCCGATTTGTTGCAGAAAGAAAGATGGATGTTAGATTGGCCAACACTCGGCGCTTGACACTGAATGAGAAGAATTTCATCAAAACAGCTTTGCTTTCTGAAATAAGAACAGATGGTCGTAAACCCTTTGAATTTCGTAATATCATCATCAACTTTGACAGGTAAGTTGAATCATTCTTTATTTTTTGTTTGTTTTCTTGTAAAACTTACTGGGTTTCCTTTCCTTTTTTTTTTTTTTGAAACTTTTGCTTTTGTGTTGGATTTTGTGATGTGATTATTATGCGTAAAGAAATGATTTTTTTTTCATTCAAATGCAAAAATTACTTTACTTTGTTTGCACATTTGCTGAATTATAAGCGAGGAGAGGAAATTTTAATCTCAGACCTTAATCTTTTTCAGAATGTTATCAACCGCTAAGCCAAGTCTCTTTTTTTTTTTTTTTTTGGCTAATGGAAGTTCAAATGGGTTCTTTTTTTCGCTCTCTCTTTAATTTGGTTGAATTTTGCAGAGAAGATGGATATGCAGAGGTGCAGCTTGGCCAGACTCGTGTCATGGGCATTGTGACAGCTAAATTTGTTCAGCCTTATCAAGATAGGCCTAATGAAGGAACTCTTTCAATCTACACAGAATTTTCGCCAATGGCTGATCCCTCATTTGAGGCAGGCCGTCCCGGAGAATCTTCTGTTGAGTTGGGACGTATAATAGATCGTGGTCTAAGGTATTTTTGTTTTATTAGTGTTACTTGAGATTATTTTCAACAAATGTATTATTAATGTTATATCATATCATGATTATAGGTATATATTTTAGATTATGTTCAGTTTTACAAGCTATGTGGAATGTTGTGGGCTCTACATTGTTGTTCCTTTACAGCATATATTTGAACATGTATCTGAAGTTATATAGCTCTCTTCCAGGGAAAGTAGGGCTGTAGATACTGAATCACTTTGTATTGTTGCTGGCAAGTTAGTATGGGCCATCCGCATTGATATCCACATCCTAGATAATGGGGGGTATGCGCAATGTCTTTTTGCTGAATTAACATTATTTAACCCTCCCCCCCCCCCCAAAAAAAAAAAAAAAAAGTTGAGATGTTTACTTTTATTTTTATTTGACCGAAATGCCTTTGTGGAAACAGTAACCTAGTCGATGCAGCTAATATGGCTGCTTTGGCTGCTCTTATGACCTTTCGGAGACCTGAATGCTCACTAGGAGGAGAAGATGATCAAGAAGTAATAATACATCCACCTGAGGTGATTATTCCAGAGTCTCGTCATTGAACTTTTGTTCTGAAATTCTTCTCCTAGTTAAATAAGAGTATTGATACGAATTTAGTGAGTTTGAGACTTACATTGTGATGGTTTTGCGTTTACAAGGATTTCACAGCCTTGGGAAGTGAATTTCACCAAATCATAAAAGCAGTAACTAAAAACAATATTGAAGTTCTGAATGCCTTTATTTAATCAATTCTTTTAGTGGATTTTACTTGTGTCTTACTAACTTACTAGCAAAGAGTATGTCCGTCATATAAAGCATGCGTTATTTTTCATAGATGTTTAGAATTGGTTGGCTATTCATTTTCCCAAAGATCCAGTGGGTGATAAAATATGCTATTCATTTAGAATTTTTTTTTTCTTATCAATTTGGAACCTATGGACTTGTTTTTCACTGAAGCTACATGGTTGGTAACAAATTTTATCATTAGTTACATCTAATGCATTGTTCAGGATATTCTCTGATCCTTGATTAATAGTGTGATTGTGTGTATACAAAATAGTGTGATTGTGTGTTTTACAGGTAGATTTTTTAGAATGTGTTGGCTGCAGAAGTTAATTGTTTCAAATTTAATGAGTTTGGATGTGGTTTCATTTGGTAACCACTTGACCTGCTTTGGCTTCTCTCATCTTGTCCACAGACTTTTGTAATATCTAGCTTGTAATTTTTTTTTAAAACATTCGATGAGCTTGGATGTGTTTTCATTTGGTAATCATGTAACCTGCTTTGTCTTCTGTCAGCTTGTCCACAGACTGCTGTAATCAAACTTGTAAATGGACTACTCCAGGCCTATTTAAAGCATGATAATTCAGTTGTGCCTAAGAAAACGAATGAAGTTGCTGCTGGTCTAAGGTTCTAGGCCATTAAATTCTATCTAAATAAGCCTCCCAGGATGATTTTTACACTATTACATGGGCTCAATCTTGCTGAAAGAAATTTTCTAAAATAGATAAAATTTTTCCACAAATATATTTTATGCAATTTCTTCAATCATGAATATATAGTAATTCACTGGATTCCAGAGTCTTTGGATGTTTCCATATCTGTGTTTTAGGTTGAAGATTGTATTTATGTGTTCATTTAATTTTTTTAATGTGAAAACAAATCTATGTTATTTAGGTGTTTTTTGGTGGAAACGAGCAATTAGCCTGCATATCCAATTTAAGCTTTTATTATTATTGAAAATCTTAAATCCATATTTGTCCTAGTAATGCAGAAAACTCCCCCTCCTAAAGATTCTGGATTTTAGTGATCTTGTTTCATACATTGAAGATAAACTAATTATTGATGTTATACTTCTTATTTATTTATTTTTAAATTTATTATTTTTATCCCATGTGCATTTGACTAATTGTATATTGCAGCAAATAGTTTGTGATAACGTCTTTTCTTTTCATAGATGAGAGACCCAGTTCCTTTGATAGTACATCATCTTCCTATAGCAGTTACTTTTGGATTCTTTGATGAGAGTGTCGTGGTACAAAAGCTTCTTTCTCAACTTTTAGGCTACTTTTAAGTGATATATTGGTAAAAAGAAGCTAAAGTTCATATGCTTTGCTTTCTGAGTGTTATGAAATGTCATGAAGGTGATAGATCCCACCCACAATGAGGAGGCTGTTATGGCTGGAAGAATGATTGCTACTGTTAATGCAAATGGTGATATTTGTGCGATTCAAAAGGCTGGAGGAGAAGGTGTCAGTCAGAGAGTTATCATGCAATGTTTGCAACTTGCTGCAACAAAAGCTGCAGATATAACAAAACAGATAAAAGCAGCAGTAAGTTTCCCCCCTCCTCCGGATGGTCCTTTGAAATATGAGGGAAAATGGATCTTGACTGCTCATTTTATTTGCCACTCCTACCTGATAATTTGTTTATAGATCTTAACTGGTAATTAGGCTAATTGTCAACGAAGTGGTTTTTGAGAACGCATCGCAATATGCTATTGAATTAGTTACTTTTTGGTTATTACTTTTACCGCATATTTTTGCATTCAAAAGGTATGAAAATGCATTTCGATTGAAGAGTAAATATTGTTACAGAAGTAACCTTTAAAAGTTTACTTTTTGGTTATTACTTTTACCGTATTGAAGAGTAAATATTGTTCAAAAGTTATGAAAATGCATTTCGATTGAAGAGTAAATATGTTTGAATTAAAATTTAATCACTTTCTCATTTTTTAATCTAATTTGTTTTCACCTTTTTCCGTATAACTTTGAAACTGCTTTGTCAGCTCTATGTGATTTCTCTATGCCACTTGTTCATAGTTGTTATTTTAAGCATCTAGAGGTACGGAGAAAAACTTTTGCATATGGTAAATCCACTGTTTCCAGAGGGAGGAAGTGTGACAGCTGTTCAGCTCATATTCCTACCCATACTCTTTTTTCCATCACTCTTTAACTATTTAAAGGACACAACTGCTTTTTCCATGAGCCAGTGAATAGCAGGCTAGGAAAAAAATATAGAAAACTTTCTGAGGAATCAAGTAGTGCATCAATTGGATGGCTAACCTGATTTAATTTTTGTTATGCAATTACTCTGTCCAGAAGAAGGTTATGTTTTTTTATCATGCAACTTGCGAGTGGAATTTATATTTTACTTGTTTTAATTTGAGTTGTGTCACATTGAGCTTCTATTGTCTGCTCCATAATAATTCTTGTTCAATAAATTGATGTAGGTTGAAGCATACAACAAAGAAAGAGCTCTACAAATGATCAAGCGTGAACATACTTGTGTTGATACTAATGTAAAAGAGGGCGAAGACCAAACTCTTGATAATAAGGGCATTAGTGAGTTGGTGGGTAAATATATGGAGAGGTTAAAACTCATATCAGGGGAAAGCTATCCAAGTCAAAATATTAATGGTGAGATTGAAACCAAATCATTGAAAAGAGGGACAGACATCCATGGTATCAAATTTAGCAGCACTCCCCTGAGTTGGTAAGATTTTGAACTTTCATACGTGCACACAAGTGTGTGCATGCTTTCTTTTATGATTTTTCTGAATTTTTGAGAGAACTGTTTAATTTACCTGAATTAAGCCTGTGAGAACCTTAGACCTTTGTGTAGTTTAATGCTATTGGCGTAGGGGTGGTTTTCTTGATGTGTGCTATGCATTTTAACCTGAGGTTCCTTTGTCACTGATTGAAGTCTTAATCACGTAGAGGCGGAGTAATGACATATGAATGAGTTATTACTTATTAGAGCATCTGATTTTATTTAGATTACTATATCTGATTGATTGAAAGCTATGCTTGATGAAAACATCTGCTAATGTCTGGATCATTACCTGCTATGTTGTAATTTTTTTTTGCTTGTTCTGTACTTTAACCATATGAAAGATAATGAGGAATTTATCTGCAAGGAACACCTATCTAGAGTTTATTATGATCCAAACCTTGTTTTTACTAGAAGTATTAATACACACGGCTTTCCAACTGCTCTACTGCTGTGCTTCGATGTTTTGTTTGTTTGATCTGCCAGTTTATTATTAAAGTGTGTTATTAGTTAAACTAAAAAGGATACACCTCCACTAGGATACCGATACTTTAGTGTCAAGATATATGCACATCTTGTTTGTGCTTGTTTTTCGCATGTTATTTTTGTAGTTAATATTATTATTCGAGTTAATTATCTTATTATTATTATTAATTTAACAGTTTGTTAGTATTTTATTAGGAGAAGAATGTTATGGGTTATTTTTGTAGCCAATATTATTATTCGTGTTAATTATCTTATTATTATGGAAAATTATCTAATACACAGGTTGTGTAAACTTTGGTGTACACAAGCCTTTTTTTAATGGAAATAGGGTTTAGAATTTAGTGTTAGGAGTTTATGGTTTAGAGTTTTAAGGTTAGGGATTTAGATTTTAGGTTTTAAGGTTCAAATAAGCAGGATTGTGCGCAAACTTTAGTTTACACAGCATGTGTATTAAAAATACTCTATTATTATTAGTTTATCAATTTATTAGTATTTTATCAGGAGAAGTATTAGGAGATCTTATGTATGAGCTTTTTATATTATTAGTAGTCTTTCCTTAGAAGGAGACTTGCTTTTTAGTTGCTTCAGCAACTCTTAGAATATTAAAAGAAAACCTTGAAAGACCTTGGTCTTGCTTTTAACGAGGTCTGAGGTTTCAGTCTCCCTTTAATGAGCTAAGAGGTTCCATTCTCGTGAGCTGAACTATAGATAAAAATTCAATATAATATTTGATGTTCTGAGCCAATGATCTTCGACAATGGTGTAGCAGTGGTCAACAGAGAGGCAAGCAGAAATACACAAGAAACCGGAGCAGATAATTCATGACACTATTGTTGAAGCCAAAACCATACTGTCTCAACTGTTAGATCCCTACATGAAATAAGGGATAAAATAATTGCTGCTCAGTGCTCAATAGGTTAGTGGCTCCAAGGCTGATAAGAAGGTAGACCCTTTACCTAAACACAACCAAACAATGGTGACCTCTACCGATGTCTTTTCCTTGTCCCCTGGCATCATACCCTTCTAAACCCATATCAACAAGAATTTTGCAGCGCAGCCAACTTCACTTCCTTGTCTTATTCTTTCACCCTCCTTTACTCATATCCGACAATCCATCTTTTTCTTTAAAACCGATCCAGAAAAACTTCAACTCTATATTGGAATAAAAAAAGTTGATGGGGTCTTTGTGAAGACAGCGAATGATGATAAGAAGTTTGAAGATATTAGTTCAATGGTGCTACTCAATAAAAAAGAGTTTGTGAAGGTCAAAGATCTCTATCGGTTTCGACTATCAATAATGGTAGGGACCTTTCATCAAGTTGATCCCAACTTTCGAGTGGACAACCTCTTTTTCTGGGAGGGGAGTAATGTTACATTTTCTTTTTGTAGATAATATTATGACTCGAGTTAATTACCTTTTTTCTATTTGTAGTCTTTTCTTAGTAGGAGACAAAAAGTTCAAGATTATAACATTGTTTTACTCGAAGCATAATATTAATTTACGTTAAGTGGTAGATTCTTGACAAGTTTATCACATTGAAGAACTTGATATGACACAATAAAAATAGAGGAACAAAAAACTGAATTATCATGTATCATCTTATAACCTCTCTCACATAGTAATTTGCGGGATAATTGACTTCTCGGTATATGAGTAGGAAATCCCCGCTATTCAGTTGATCCGGGATATCTTATTTCTTTTTAAAGTCTTCCAGTGTTATTTTGCTTTCTAAGTCCTCTCTTCATGTCTTGCTGCATTAGTTCATTCTATTTGTGTTATTTGGTTTCTGTTTTAACATGTTAATGTTATGAACTCTTTTATTTGTTAATAATGCTGAAACTTTTTCTTTCTCCTCAGGGATCCCTACTCGAAGGGTGTTGATCCTGAATTTCTGAAAGCTTCAGTTGCCTTACAGGGTATTCGATCTTTCTCTTTAATGTTCCCTTCCTTTCCCCCAGTAAAATGAATTGAACAGTGTCTTCGAAAACGGGTGTGTTATCGTACGGATGCACTTTTACCACCATCAAGTTCTTGGTCTTGTTTATTTCAGAAAGCTTCCAGGCTGTCTTTATTTTGCACAAGTTGATATCACTGTCTCTTTGTTCTTGCTTTCATGTTTGGGAAAACCTATTTATGTCGACTGTCATCTAAACAATGAGTTGCTAGAGTTCCTGCATAGAAACTGCTGCTAGAGTTGCGAGTATATGAACATCAGTCGGTTTAGGAATAGGATTTATCCCGAGATAAACTGAGGTTCACAATATGAAGATCCATTCTTTATTGTTCACTTGATTCCGAATACGTTAACTTTCAACAAGTTTGATAGAAGTCATTACAGGGTTCTCACTCGTGGAACTTGTAGCATTTGTCTGTTTTTATGAGTATCTAAACGTCACTCGATTTAGGAATAGGCTCTAACCTAAGATGAACTGAAGTGCACCATTTTTCTGTACTGTACCTGATGAATAATTCTGAACAGTTATTCTTTTTTTGAATGATATTTTACTGTTCTTAACTGGAGCTTGAAGTAGTATGTGCATGAGCTCAAAAGATGTCGTCACATACGTGGAATTTGTAGGTTTTTCAACTCAGAATAAGAAAAAGGAATCGAGCTACGAAGAAAAGCCAAGTGAAGCTGAAAGACCGGAGTCATACGAAGATGTTAATCCAAACTCGTCAGCTGTCGACGCATCTAGAATCGAAATGCAGATGATAGGGCCGAAAACACTGAAAGATGCTGTAAAACCTAAGAACAAGAGGAAAAAGAAAGGATCCTCGATGATTTAAACTTCATATTTTGTTACGTTTTTAGGTTTACTTGTTACACGTATTTGCATGTCGATTGTAAGTTATAGTTCACGTAAATCTGAACTCAAACCCCCCCCCCCCAAAAATAAAAAAAAACTTCAAACATTTTCATAAATCTTATTTATCGTAAAATATTTTTTAGAAAATGTTCTTTTTTTTCAGTATTTCGTTGGAGGAGAACTTGTGTCTAATTTTTTTTCATTAAAATTAAGTATCTAATGTTTTCTTTGTTATATTTTTAGGTGTCTATAGAGTAACGATCGTTAAAAAAATTCGTTAAATGACATGTCATATTTATATTTTGGCTTAATAAAAAAATAAGTGTCGAAATTATATCTTAAACTTTTAGATGCCTTAAATGTTAGTCTAAGTTGTGAAAATTCTGGCATGCAACAAATCATTTAAAATTTATTTTACCTATCGTTAAGCTTGAGGTCGTGAGATCGAGTCTCACGGAGGGCATTTCATAATTCGGAGGTCTCTTACGGAAGTTGCTCTCAACCTGGTGTTGGGGGTAGCCTACTATCTTACCTCCCTATTACCCCATATATATGGGAAAAAGTGACAGCCATTTTTTTTTGTTAAGCTGATAAAGGATATGATCTTGCACATTTTGGTTTAAATTATAATAATTCACTCTTTAGCAAATAAGAATGTTTAAATGAAATTCCAATATTATAATAAACAAAAGGCTTAAGTATATAAAAGACGTTTAATTTATGTTCGTTTTTCCAGTTTAGTGTCTAATGTTTATTTCGTTCTATTTTAGTGCCTAACATTTCATTTTGTTACTCAAAATGGATCAAGCCGTGAAGAACCATTAATTTTCTCTATTAAATGGCATGTGTCACAATCTAATATTTTTTAAAAATTATATAAAATTAAAAAAATATATATTTTTTTTTAAAAAAAAGAAAACAAATTAATTTCAAAATAACCCCAAAACTTTAAAAATTTTCATTTCAACCCCTAAAACCACGTTGCCAACCGCCCTTTACCGTCGATGAGGCAAATTGTGACTGATCGACGGCAAATTGACGTTTTATACCCCGCAAACCCTATGATGAAAATCGTAATCCCAATCGATTTCGACAACCAATCGACGACAACTACGGCGACTTATAAATAGGATGATGACATGGACTATGACGGCGGTGGTGGTTGTGGCTGGATAGGGCAACGGCGGTGGGTTAGTGTTAGAATTTGGAGATTTTAGGGATTTTGAGGCTTTTTTGTAATTTAAATGAAAAAGGTTTTTAATAAATATAATAATATTTTAAAAAATAAATTTTAAAATTAAAAGATTGTAACACCTATCACTTAACAGAGAAACTAACAGTTCGTCACAACTTAACCTTTTTTGAGTAATATAGAATGAAACGTTAGGCACCAAATTGAAACGAAATAAACATTAGGCACTAAACTGAAAAAACGAGTATAGATTGGGCACCTTTTGTATATTTAAGCCTAAACAAAATTATATTTAACTAAATTAATATATTTTCTTAAAGAATGAATTTACCACGCTCGACGAGCACCGTTGAGCATCACTAACGATGAACAACATTAATCTAATTTATAAAAATTTAAAATTCTAAAATACTCATTGTATAATTATAAATTAGTTAAAAATCTAAAGGTAAATTATTTAAAATAAAATATTAATTATATTTTTTTCATAATCTTTTTTTGGTAAACTATATCATTGATCACCTAACTATTGCCCCCTTTTCATTCTAACCACCATTTTTGAAATTTTTTCAATCAAGTCACCCAACTATTTAAATGAATTCAATTAAGTCACTTACCGTTAACAATTAACAGAAGATTTGACATAGCAATTAATAAAATTAAATATAATTACACATTTAGTCTTTATTCCTTACACAATTTATCAAATTGGTCATAATTTTATTTAATTCAATATTTTTAATCCTCCAATCATATGACGACACGTGTCATGACATCATTGGAGAACTTTTTTAAATTTAATTCATATTTAATTTTAATAATTTTCCTCTAATCAGATGGTGACACGTGACACCATATGATGGAAGGAAAATAAATTGAATAAAAAATTGTATGAAAGAGTTAAACCTTAGTCTCCAAAGTGGATTATACAACCTGTCAACCTCTACCACTACACCAACACTAGTTCTTGATATAATATTTACAACATTTGTTATTTATCTTATACTATAATGAAGGCTAGAAAAATAAAAACAAAAGTAACAATAAAACAACTCGAACCTTGGCCTATTACTAGGGATAGGCACGGGCAGGGCAGGTCGTTTTTTTTGTCACCTCGATTTAGACCCAAAAATATATTATTTATATCCAACTTCATCCGACCCAATTCGAATATATTAATATTTTGAAATGGTTAAAATAATATATTTATAATTATTTATTATATTTTAAATGGTTAAAATAATATATTTTACCTTAAATCTGATCCGATTCAAATATATGTATATAAGGATAAACTAATAATTTATACCAGGTTGAATCGAGTCGATAATTTTTCACCTTATACCTGCCCCTGTCCTGCTCCGAAGCTATCTATTATATAACCCGCCTCAGACCCGAAAATTCAAAAAAAAAAACTATTGGATCAGGTTGGGTCGAACATTGGTCTATTACTAGGGATAGGCACAGGGCAGGGCAGGCCGGTTTTTTGGTCTCCCCGACCCCGACCTAAAAATATATTATTTATAACCGACCACGCCCAGACTCAATTAGAATATATTGATATTTTAAAATAGTTAAAATAATATGTTGATAATCATTTAAAATATTTTAAATGGTTAAATTAATATATTTTACCTTAAACCCGACCCGATTTGAATATATATAAACGAGTAAACTAATGATTTATATCGGGTTGTTTTTGTCTTGGCGCAGTGGTAGAGGTAGGTTAAATATAAGTTAAACTAAATTACATTTCGAAGTTACTTAATTATAGGTTTGATAATAAAAAATTGTTTAAATTTTCTTCTACAAATTATATTAAGTAAAATATTGTTATAAACATATCACTATTTTGTTAAATATTAGATAAAATAGTGATGTACTCTGATATAATAATAATTTTAGTCTTTAAAACTTATAAAACTTATCAATTTAATACTAATATGAAATAATTTAATAAATTAACTATTTATATTTAAAATATTTATTATTTAACTCAAATAAAATACTAAATGTTAACCAATAACTAATTGATATAGTATGATAAAATATTAAATTCTTTAGGTACATAAAGTTAACTTAGTGCATAGTTTGGGCATTTATTTTTGCATTAAGTCAAATATAAATTTGGCATGTGTCACTTAAATATTTTTTAAAGGTCGTTACTGTAAAGGCACCTAAAAGTTTAACAGATAAAACACTATACTTCTAAAAATATAACGTATAAAACATTAAACACTTCTTTTTAATGAAAAAGTCTTTAGACATCTAAAGTTAATTAGAATATAGTTTGAGCACTTATTTTTGCATTAAACCAAATCTAAATTATAATCTCATCGTTGGTAAAAAAAAAATTCAAAGTTTGTACCATGGAACTTTTTTTTTACAATTTAAATCATAATATTTTATTTTTCTTAAATAAATCCTTTTTAAATGGATAATGATTTTTTTGACAATATAATAGCCTAAGAGTACGATTGAAAAGAAAACATTGAAACTTTTTATTTTTAATTTTTGAGATTATAATTTGTATGTTCGAGGTCTCAACTTAAGATTTGGGTAAAAATCATAAGCGTTTTTGTCTTAATATTTGGGTAGAAAATTTTAGGATTTAAAGGTTAAACCTTATCTACATGGTTGGTTCAAGTGGTAAATAAATTAATATTATTTATGTAAGTCTCGAGTTCAAGTCATTGTGTATACAGAAAATCCTTAGGAGACTCTCCCACCAAAACTATGTGTACAACACAGGTAAGACCGAATTAATCAGGACGAAGTCCTGAGAACCGAAAAAGAAACAAAAAAAAAGTTAACTTTATCCACAGAAGTTCAAATTGAAGTTGGTGAATTTAAAAAAAAATTCTTAGTGATAGTAAATTAAGATAGTGAATGTTGATTTTATTGAAAAAATTGAACTATTATAAATAATTGTGTTTTGTTTTTTATATTATTCTTCTTAATAAAAAATTAAAAGATAATTCTTCCACATCTTGGTATATTGTTGATTGATTGAGCTACCACTATCTTACTAGGTATTAACACATATCATTTATTCATATGGAACAACTTGCCTTAATAACTCAAAAATTCCAAAGTTGAGTAGCAAAAATCTGTTGCATTGGTCATGTTAGATGTTGGCTGCAACAAAATGTTTATTAACATTTTCTTTCATACAAATATAATAAATCAAACATATATGATAACTATTCAATGTATTATAATTTTTTTTAACAATTACAACTAGATTTTATTAATGAAAATAATGGAAATAATCAGAATTACAACGCACCCAAGCATAGAGTGAAAAATGCGAATAATAATCACCAAAAAACTCGTATAAAAACAAAATATTAATCCCAACGATACGAGAAAAATGAAACATTCTCTTGAAAGTGATGATCAACATCAAACGAACCTAGTAACCTTTATAAAATTATTTGTCTCTGTCGAACGAGACACTTTACGAAGTAATAAAAGAGTGGTGAGTGAACCAAACTATTTGACAGGTTGCTTCGGTACACAATTCTGATTATATCGGCAAACAATCTTTTACGAAAGAGAGGATTTGACAATACTTGACCATCGAAAAACCAATAAGAAAAATAGATGTTGTGAGGGTATTTGTGCAAGAACAAAAAAATCGCAAAGATATGCAAAAAAAATATACCAAAAACCCTAAAGATTGTGTCACAATAGTATAGAAAACTCGTGCCACAAGAGCATAGAAAAACATATCAAATGACAAACATTCTTATTTAAAATTGATGTCGTCGTTGGCTAAATAAAAATCAAAGAAAAGAAAGAAAGGTGTCACAAAAATATTGTAAAAAA